GTTGGTTTCCTCCGTCACTGAAGCAAGCAAGCCTCATGTTCAGTTTAAGCTGCCTGGCTGCCAGTCGCCATATTGGCTGTCATTTAATTTGCATATCTCACTGATTAGCCACTGGGAAGGGTAGCGGTCGTACGCCAATTACCATGTTTCTCTTTTATTAGTGTAGATATGGCACCTCAATCATTACAAAAATACTGTTGATAAAATGTTCCCAGAACATTTAATTGTACAGAAAAGTACTATTTGACATTGTCATTATTGAGTATTTACTATTATTTAGTAATAATAGATTACTAAATCTATGCTAACAGATTTTCTCATTTAATCCTCACAATAACCATATGATAGGTACTTACACATGAGTACAATGGACTCAGAGAGGTCAGGAAATTTTCCCAAATTCATGAAACTAGTAAGTGGAAATACACAGTTCTAATCCCAAGAACCCTAATTCCAAAGTCTGAGTCCTTACCTATAATAGCATGTGACCTCTACATATCCTCAATACTAAACTTATAGGTGCCTAACCATTTCAGCTCTACCATTGGTCTAAACAGAAAGACCACACTATCTGCATATGCAGTAAAATCTGCAGATCATTTTATTTTTTCTTAATTTGCCTTTTTTGGGTAGAGCAAGTTGATGACTTTTCAAAAATGTTTGCATAATTAGTATGTATGTGTTATGTAGAAAAGGATAGCTTTTAACTAAAAATATATAATGGGTTTTGATTCAGAAACCAATTTTGAAAAAAGTGCATTTTTTAAATATAGTTTTTTATTGATTTCAGGGAGAGAGAGAAAGAGAGAGAGAGACAGAGACATCAATGATGAGAGAGAATCATTGATCGACTGCCTCTTGCACACCCCCTACTAGGGATTGAGACCGCAACCCAGGCATGTGCCCTTGACTGGATTTGAACCCAGGACCCTTCAATGCAGACTGACGCTCTATCCACTGAGCCAAACCAGCTAGGGCCAGATCATTTCTTAAAACTTAATTTCAACTTTGGGATCTGAACCTCTGACAGACATAGTTTTCTGTCATCTTTCCTTTCTAAGTAAGTACAATTATGGAAAAGGGAATTGTTGAAAGCATTTCATGAAGGGAACGAAAGAAAGGCCTTTTAAAAGCTTTATGAGATAATCATTAATCAGCTGCCTCCTGCACGCCCCACACTGGGGATCGAGCCCACTACCCAGGCGTGTGCCCTGAAAAGGAATTGAACCGTGACCTCCTAGTTCAGGGGTCCTCAAACTACGGCCCGCGGGGCACATGCAAATACAAATATTGTATTTGTTCCCATTTTGTTTTTTTAATTCAAAATAAGATATGTGCAGTATACACAGGAATTTGTTCATAGTTTTTTTTTAAACTATAGTCCAGCCCTCCACCGGTTTGAGGGACAGTGAACTGGTCCCCTGTTTAAAAAGTTTGAGGACCCCAGTAGTTCATAGGTTGATGTTCAACCACTGAATCACACCAGCCGGGCTACAATTACATCTTTAATATTTACACATTATTTTCATGAAATTTAATACTTTTTATATTTTGTTATAGAATGTAGCAAACCAAAGCATTATTATTTCCTCAAAGAATCATACTTTGTATCAATCCATTCAAAATAAAAACTCAAATTTAAAATCATTAATAAATATAAAAACTTAATCAGCTTGCTCCCAAATATATCAGCTTCCCAATTACTAATAATTTAAATAAAGCCTCAAAAAGACTGCAATATTTTATCATTGCTTGCCATATGTAAACTGAACACTTAGTAATAATCTATAGATGCTCATAATATGAAACCATACAAATTTCACATCAGATGATCAATACACTTAGAGTTGTTATGCAAATATAAACAAAAACAGATAATTACGAACTTGATCAAAATTACAGCATCAAGCTAAAATACTAAAATAATGTTACAAAATTTAGATTTACTAAATCTCAAAATCTGATTTAGACTATTAGGCATTTTTGAAATTCATAATACATTTTGCCAATCTACCAACAAACTCAGTTCACTGCTTCAGGAATACCAAGTTATAAGAAATGCCTGTGTGGCTATTACAAAAATATACATACCTTTAGTAACTGATGATGTAGTACTGTCTTCTGGTGGAAGACCGGTCCCACCATCCTTCCAGTATGGATTCAATTCTCTTTCCAGCAGTCTGGACTAAAACAAAATTATTTCCAGAGGTCATAATTTAAAAATAATCCCACCATAAATAACATATTTGAGACTCAGTTGCAACCCTGGACAAATATTCTAAACATTCTTAAGACGCGCTTCTGCAACTTTCAGGAAATAATGTCTAAAGTAACATTCACCCAATGCTACTATTAAATGCCTCCTTTGGCCCTGATTGGGTGGTTCAGTTGGCTGGAGCATCATCCTATACAGCAAAATGATGCAGGTTTGATCCCCAACCAACGCATGTATTGGAAGCAACTGGTCTTTGTTTCTCTTACATCGATGTTTTTCTCTCTCTCTCGCCATTCTCTCTGCCCCTTCCTCTCTCTAAAAATCAATAAAAACATATCCTTGGGTGAGGATGAAAAAAAGAGCCTACTATGAATTACAACTGTGCTAGAAACAGAAGATATAACAATCAATATGCCTAAACCTGCCCTTGCTAGCTTATAAAATAGGAATACAGACAATGAACAAGTAACTGACAAATGCTTTGAAGATAAAAATACAGAGCACTAAAGCCACACATAATTAAAACACCTCTCACAATGAAGGATTAGAGACTTCCTAGTAAGTTAATATGTGCAGTCTTAGACTAACGATGAGCAGAAATAAGCCACATTTTCTTTTGTGGGAGGAAAAGGCACAGAGACACTCCAGATAAAAGGAACAACAGCATGCTCACAAAACCCCAGAGAAAAGTGAAAATATAGCACTTTGAGGGAACTTAAAGTAATTCAGACTGACTAAAATTGAGACTCATAAACAAACAATGGTTAAGAAATTAGGTTGTACAATAATCAGGGACTAGGCCACCTAAACCATTTTAAACTGCTATTAAGGTTTTATGCTGGGGCAACAGTGAGCCACGAAGGAGACTGGCTTTGTTACACAAAGAGCAAACTCATTTCAGAGCAGAGGAGAGAGTGAAGGGCAAGATTAGAGGTAGGATCTCACACCTGACAAAATGGCTATCATCAACAAATCAACAAATGACAAGTGCTGGAGAGGACGGGAAGAAAAAGGAACCCTCTTGCACTGCTGATATAGCCACTATGGAAAACAGTATGGCGTTACTTCAAAAAATTAAAAATGGAAATTCCATTTGACCTAGTAATCCCACTTCTAGGAATATATCCCCAGAAAACAGAAACACCAATTAGAAAGGATATATGCACCCCTATGTTCATAGCAGCACAATTTACCATAGCTAAGATCTGGAAACAGCCTAAGTGCCCATCAGCAAATGAGTGGATTAGAAAATCGTGGTACATACACAATGGAATACTACGCTGCTATAAAAAAACAAGGAACTCTTATCATTTACAACAGCATGGATGGAACTGGAGAGCATTATGCTGAGCAAAATAAGCCAGTCAGAGAAAGATAAATATCACATGATCTCATTCATTTGCGGATTATAATGAACAACATAAACTGATGAATAAAAATAGAACCAGAGTCATAGAAGTATCGAACAGATGTCCAACCTATGAGGGAAGGTGGGAGGTAAGGGGGTAAGAGACCAACCAAAGGACTTGTGTGCATGCATATGGGCATAACCAATGGACACAGATGGGGGAGGGGTGAGGGTACGTGTTGGGGGGTAGGGGCAGCCAGAGAAAGGTCAGAGGGGGAAAAAGGAGACTTATGTAATACTTTAAACAATAGAAGAATTTAAATTTAAAAAAGATTAGAGGTAGGAATCCAGTGAGAAGATGGTAGCAAAAATCAGTAAAGAGATGCTGGTAGTCTAGTCACAATTCTGGGGCCTCCTGTGTTCCCAACACTAGTCTGGGCACTAGGACTATAATGAATAAACCAGGCACAGTCCTTGCCATCAAAGAAATTTTGGTCTAGAGCAGCGGTTCTCAACCTGTGGATCGCGACCCCTTTGGTGGTCGAACGACCCTTTCACAGGGGCCGCCTAAGGCCATCCTGCATATCAGATATTTACATTACAATTCATAACAGTAGCAACATTACAGTTATGAAGTAGCAAGGGAAATAATTTTATGGTTGGGTCACAACGTGAGGAACTGTATTTAAAGGGCCAGAAGGTTGAGAACCACTGGACTCTAGAGAAAGGGGAAAGACAATTAAGCAATATCAATATAGGTAAGTGAGATGAAGGTAAAGGGTGCTTCAAAACCACATACTAGTACTAGAGGTTCTTAAGTTGACCTTACCTTAGATCAAGTATGTTAAACTCATAGCCCATAGGCCGCATGTGACCCACAATGAATATTTTTGCAGCCCAGCCAATATAACGGTATGTACTAGTAAGAAACATTTTAATAAACATTTCGTAACTTAATTTTTACAATATCCTGTTATACATATTATTAATAACGAACTACAACATTCGCTAATGACTGATTACTATAATCATGTTGCACTCATTTCCCTTACACACCTTACGTGCAAGGCGCACCATTTTTCTCCACTAATACTTAGCAGCAAATATTTTAGCAGCCTATTGCCATGTTATTAGTCTTGGACTGACTTGTTTGGTGTGTGCAACAGGAAATATTTCACTTTCAGAGAACAAGAAAAATAGGTTCATTTGAGTTACCCTTATTAATTTGTGCAGTTATTCAGTGTCTGGTAAGTTTATGTTCAAGAAAAAATATTAATTTTTATTAAAATGTTCTATTATTTTATGTTAATGATTACTCATTTATTTTAGCCCTTTGTGTTCAGCATGTCTCTATCGAAAGAAATCTATGTTTCTATGAAAATTGAAGCTTTTGGTTTTTTTGCGGCCCACATAAACTTAAACCTTGTTTATTTGGCCCGTGTTAGTCTTTGAGTTTGACATGCTTGCATTAGATGGTCAGAAAATGCTAGAAATAATAGTGGTAATACAGATACTTAGTATAGTAAAAGAACATACATAGTTTGGACAGTATAAATTGTTGTAATCTCTTTGCAAGTATTTATAAAAGACTAGAGGCCTGGTGTATTGGGGGTGGGGGAGGGGTTCTATCAGCCCAGCCTGCGCCCTCTCGCAGTCTGGGACCCCTCGGGGGATGTCCACCTGCCAGCTTAGGCCCAATACCTGCCAGGGATCAGACCTAAGCCGGCAGTCGGACATTCCTCTCGCAGTTCGGGATATCTCTCACAGTCTAGGACCCCTAACTCCTTACCACCCGCCTGTTCACTGCTCCTTACGGCTTGGCTCTCTGTTTCTTAGCGCTGC